TTAGGTTTGAAATACCAAGTACCCAAGTTTTGAAATCATCTAAAATTAGCTTGAAAGATTTGTTCACTTTCAATTTTGGGAGTGTGCCAAGAAACTGTAAGAAATCCAAATGCTAATATAACATAGATTTTAGCCATTGAAATTATCAATGCTATAGATTCCCACCACTGAACTACCCAAAAAAAATCAAATAACTTTTTAACCCACTTATCAATGTAAAAATAAAATTTAGAACCTATTCCCTAATAACCAACGGAATATTGTTTGGTGAGGCTGCACATCCATGAGCAAAAAGAGGTTTGATTCAGTCAAATAAGAGCAGTACGCAGTTCAACATTCAAACTCTTATCATTTTTTCTCAAGTTTGAAGCGACTACTTCCTAAGCCATCTCCAAAGTGCAAACTTGGACCCGCAAAGGATCCACTGACCTCTCTCTTCCATTTCTAGGGCCAATTATGAGAAATTAGAAAAAATCGAAACCGCCACCAAAGAAATCTGACTACTAAGGCCACTTGGCAACCAATAAGTTGCGGCTGCACGCACTGAATTTGAGTCTTATGGAACGCTATATATGTATAGAGGGTTTCTTTCTTTCTCAAGAGCTACTCAAATACTGGTACTGTACATCAGGCAAGAGGTTCTTTCTCGCTCTAGGGTTAACTCAAAGCTAGGAATATATATGGTTTTGGTACCCAAGCACTGGTTTCTCTCTCTTATTTTGATCATTACCCTTGTTGCTTCCTCCATAGATGCTAGGCCCATTAGGGTTGTGGGTGCTACCCCTGTTGGCCATCGTCCTGTTGATGGTGCGAGCCTTTTCTTCTTTAACCATGCCATATTTGGTGCAGTGAAGGACTCGTGGCCGAGCCCAGGCGATGGTCATGCCCAGGTGAATGCAAACCCCCCCCCTTAACGTTACTTGCTTTGATTTGTTTGTTGCTTATCCTAATGTGAATGCAACCCAATTTGAAATTTAACATATAAGAGTGATTATGACTCGCATTGTACTAAAAATAAACAGTCATTGTTATATTATATGCTACTCCTTTTTGAAAAAAGTCATGGTTGAGTTTTTGCTGAGCGTCCGCACGTCTGTTCAATCATATTGGCGTCAATTCTTACTGGCATTGTTAGAGTGCATATCAAGATTAGTCGCAAGGTTGATGAGGTCGCATCCCTGAAATTTGAGGTCCTTGAAAGATTAGGTTTGTGCAAGTACTTATTTTGCAAAATCGCATGGGCCCTTTGATTTTTCCCCCTTTGTTTTACGTTTTGTACAGATAAATGGAGCAAATTGTATACTTGCTCCCTCGGTTAAACCCCAGCAAGGAGCAGTTCCAAATTGGTTAGATTGAAATTTGTTTCATGTACCTCTTTTTTTTTTCATCTCTGAATGAAAATTTGAGGTTTGAGCACTCGCACTCTCTATTGGGACGCATAAGAAAGACACAGAAAGAATAATTCGAGCAAAATAAAATGACCAAATAGCCCTTAAGGTTTTAGGAGTATTTTTTCATTTTGTTTCAACTCATTCCCATGTATATAAAAAGCATAAAATTCAAATACACAACAAGTTCTTAACCGTCCGATGATTAGAAAGCTGGGATGGACAGTCTTTTAAGTGAACTACAACGTGTATTATTTGCTCGTTTTGAAAATGTTATCTTTATCTTCAACAATTTTTTATTCTTTTCCAGTATTAAATCAAGCTGAAATTCGGAGTGTTTGTGAGTCTCACTGAGTGTATCAGCATAATATATAAAAAATAATTCAAATAAAATTAGATGACCACAGTATTTAGGGTATTTCAACCATTTTATTTTCTACATTTCTATAGAAGGACTCGTAAATACCGAGTCTCTTTTACTTTTGAACCTTTATTTTATATATTTTTATACAAGTGCATGAGGGTAAGAAGTATGGATGCCTCAAATTTAGCACAATTCATTATATATAAAAATACAATTGAAATAATTAGATATCTTCTCAACCGTTTATTTTGTGGTGGCCTATAACCACATTTTTTTTTTCTTTAATGTATTTTAAACTATCCAATGTATTATCGATGCGTTGTGATTTCAAATTCTCTTTTAAGAAATATCACCTTCCCATCACTAATGATTTCAATGAACAGTTAAACTGATTAATTTCTAGATTAGTCAATCAAACACAAATTCTCATACTTTCTAGAATTTCCATACAAGTTAAGAGATTTATTATTTGTGAATTTCAGACATAAAAAAGAAAAATTCCACATTTCAAAAGTCTATAGCTTTCATCTTTTAGGACCTGCTTGATAATTATAAGCTGCAAGTTCTATGGGAAGAGGAAGTTCTAAACTTCTGAAACTGAATATTTTGATGTCTGAAATTGACTTGATTGCATGTTTGCAAGTTTGAGAACTTTGTTTAATTAAAAGTGTCGGATTTTAAAAACTTAGATATCTGAAAAGTAGCCAGTTTTAACTTTTCATTAAAATTTGTATCATTAGAGGGTGATATTTCTTTAAAGACAGATTTTAGATCACAGGTCATTCATGTTATGTTCAACAAAATGTATAGTCTGGATTATATAAAAAAGAAAATAATGTTGTTATGAGTCACCATAAAATAGATGGTTTAGAGTAGTGCTTCAATCCAATCCGAACTAAAAATTGCTGATTCAGATCAAGAATCATTGGGAACCGACCCAATTCCCAATCAGAACTGTGAAACAAGCCAGTTTCTACAAAATTGTTCTGTTCTGAAATGGGAGATTTTGTCAAGGACTCAGGCAATCCAGATCACCTGGTCCCATTGATTTATATTTTTTATTAGTATTCTTTTTTTATTGCTTTCAATTTTATTTATATTGCCCGCTTTTCATATGGGAGAATGGTTCACATCATTGAGCCGATCACAAATCTAGACCAGTTTCCCAGATTGCCGATTCACACAATTGATTTGGGTTTTAAACACTGGTTTAGAGTATGCCCGATAATCTCAATTTTAAATTTCTTTTTTTTAATACATTGGATTGAGCTACAACTCTAGGCATCCATACCAGTCACCTTCACGCACCTATAAAAAGCATAAGAAAAAAGGGAAAAATTACATCAATATCTGTTTTATTTTCTGTTATTATAAAAATACCTAAATCCTTCTGTTATTAAACATATGTCCATTTTTTGAACTTCAAATCAATTTTTTTTAAAAATATGAAACTACCTATTTTCGATGTTTCAAAAACTTTAATGAGCCTGAAAAACCGAAAAGCAGCCCCATCCACATACTTTACTGGTTTCTCGCCAACCAGTCTGAGTTCAACTCTGAGTTCGGTGACAGAGGTATCTTTGCGTACAATACTTACTTTTGACGAAGAAGGTGAGAAGCAGAGATCAGTAGCGGTGTTCCAGGCATTCAATGCTGGTGGGTATTCAAGATACTTCCTCAGCTGCTGAAGGATATGGGTTTGAGAGGAAGGTTATGGTTTTGAAATGGGAAGGAAGAAAACCCATGAAAAGAGAAGCACGATCGGTTCAAGGACAGGTGCCATGCGTTGAGTTTTTGCAGGAACAGATTTGATTGAGAGAGAGAGAGAGAGAGAGAGAGAGAGAGAGAGTAGTT